CCGCCGCCGCCTCCGCCGCCTCCTGCGCCTCCTGGTGGTGGTGGAGGTGGAGGTGGTCAAGGTCCTCCACCGCCGCCCCCAGGAGGCGGTGGTCAAGGAGGTGGTCAAGATCCTCCGCCACCACCTCCTGGTCCTCCCGGAAGTGGGCAGAGCCTCCCGCCTCCGTCTACGGCCCCTGCCCATCCTCCTGCTTCTAACGTTCTTGCTGCGCCGCCACTTGACCCCGTTCTTCATACGGTGCCTGGTCCTCTGGGAAGTGTTCAGGGCCTTCTGCCTCACCCTGCCCCGCCGGCGAACCCTCCCACCTCTCAGGCTCCTCCTGCGTTCCCTACGTACCCCGCCCTCCCTGTCTTCCCGGGTATCGCCCCGGTGCTCCCTCCTGAAGGAGACAGGTTAGGTGGTCAAGGCCCCCCTCCGCCTGCCCCTCCGCCTATGCTTCCTGCCGCCCCTGGTGGATCTAGATTCGACGGCCTGGGCCAGACGCAGAATCCTAGCGTGGATCATGGGCACGCCCAATCCCTTGCCGACATGCTGAATGCCCGTGCACGACCTGGTGCGGGCCATTACGTTCTCAGTCCTACGGTCGACGGCCTGCCTCTTGTTTTGGTTCCTGCACCGGCGAATCCGATGACGGGTGACAGCGATCCTCATGGGCCGGAGGGTTCTGGGAGTTAAAAAGTGGCGCGATAGTCAGAGGTTTCTTTCTGGCCGTTGCCGGTCCTGTGCGGTGTGGGTTTGGTGATAGCGCCGAGAAGCGTATGCTCGACGTGTGAGCGTTGCAGACTTACCAGAGCACATCATGGATCGTCCTTAGCGCTTCTTTGCCTATTCTTTCTTCTCGCTTTAGGTTCAATTCTTTCCGATGATATTTTTGGAGGCGGCAGATAGCAGACAGGCGAGTTGGTCATCTCCCGTCCCACGGGATATTGTTGTCGCGGTTTTCGTGATTTCGGGGACTATCTCATTACTGAACGCTTGGTGTCTCAGCCGCGTAGGAACTGAGCAGCATGATTTAGCGTGGATAGTCTGAGCTTATTTATATTATCAATACATCTTGTTCGCATCTTTGTTTGATTACTTCCTCTTCCTGGATGGGGAAGCTTTTAGCTTCGGAACATAACGTCATGTTGACAATCATGTCTGCGCCTTGCGGTGACGGATATGCTGCGAGGCTTGGGAAAGTTTTCAAAAAGGTCTGACGGTTGGTGCCGCAACGTCATCGTTTCCCTCCATCAGCAGCTTATTGGGACGAGAACCAGACACTTGGTCATGTGCACGTCTTCGGTCCATCTGAAGCATGCCCGACCTCACATGGGGCATACAGGGCAAAATCGGCAGTAGAAGTTTCAATGGTTCGTTGTCGTGCAAATCCTCTGATTAAGGATTCATTGCAAGAATCTGTTTACCACACTGACATGGATAGTTTTAGTGGTTTGTCTTTTGATATATCCTGGAGTTGACTTGATAGCCAGAGGCGGCTTGGCAGCCTGGGAAAGGTAGTTTCATGTTTTGTTGCTGCGAAGAAGACTACATATCAGAAGCGCACAGTACGATCTTCCCCCATTTGTAGAATCGGATATCTTGTGCCGAAGATCACGCCATGTTCACAAATCAACAGTAGATAGCTTCTCGAGATACATTGCGAGTGAAGCAATGATATGTGACGTGGTAAATTATGCGCCAAGCTAACGAAGCCCGTCATCTGGCCGACATCGCGGAATACCACTTCCTGGCTTGCCACCCTCTCATGCCTCCATCCGAGCCAGGGTCGCTCCGGCTCACGGAACCCAAAGTCGGCGCAACAGTCCATTCAGGCTCCAGGTCGTCAACTCTATGCCTTCCGACAACCGAAGTGTTTTGCCACGGGCCGAACTCAACGCTTTTTTCGCCAAGCAGGCAGTGTCTTTTCATACCTGATAAGTTTCCCTTTTTGCCGCGAGCTCACTACATATGCCTAAAAGAGCCGCGTTGCCTTGATCTCCCGAATAGGCATGATCTACCTGCTTCCGCTGACTACCCTTGTCAAGGTCTCGTCGATACGACCTCGCCTAGGTGTGGCTCCTGTCACAGTCCCTTCACAGATTCTTGAATGATGCACTATGCGCGAGTAAGGCTGTGGCACGGTTCCCTCAACATGGTCGACGCGGCGGACGGCATTCCGGGGGTGCCGTGCCGCGAGAGGCTATGTTGTATCTGCCATCGGGGTAGTCGGAACTTTATTGCCCCTGAAACAGGTCTGAGCTCAATAACACCTAGAGGCCTGTGTGAGCCGACCTTAAAATGTTATATTCTACCGGGGGTTTAGATCTGCTGTCTTTGGCGATCAAGCAGAGGACATTGCTGCCACGAACGACAGCACAATGGGGCCGTTCTTTCCAGCTGTATGGATCACGCTCGCTTCTGCCACGATCAGTGCTTCACTCAACATCCGCGTTCCCAACATTGTTTCTGTCGAGGTTAACGGACCTAAATACGATTGCAGGTGCTCACCTGAAGATGCCTGCTGGCCTGACAAGGCGGCATGGGATGGCCTGAATGCAACAGTGAATGGGAATCTTCTACGGCACATTCCACCAGCTGCCGTTTGCTACAATGAGTTCAGAGGGATTCCGACCTACAACAAGGCCGCCTGTGATGAAGCCACATCCATGTGGAAGGACGAAAGATGGCAGTGAGTATCACGAGCAGACAGAATAGAGCAGCCACCCTAACAGAGGTAGAATCTCCCGACCGGCCTCGGTCCTCTGGACTTGGGGAAGCAACAACACCTGCGAACTAACCACTGATCCCTCCGCCAGTTGTACGATGGGCTACTACCCCGAGTTTGTGATCATGGCCAAAACTAGGGACCACATCAAAGCTGGGGTCGACTTTGCTAGAAGTCGCAACATTCGGCTGGTCATGAGAAACACTGGCCATGACTTCGAGTCTAGGAGTGCAGGAGCAAGTTCGTTGGCAATCAACACACATAGCTTCAAGGACATCAGCTTCACCGATAAGTATGATGGACCTGGCGGGTACCGTGGGCCTACGATCACTATCGGAGCAGGCGTGCAAGGTTATGAGGTTATCGACGCAGCACATGCACAGAATCCTCCACGACTCGTCGTCACTGGCGAATGTGCGGCAAGTACACTTCAAGATTTCGTCACACAAACTACAGCTAACTGTATCAAGACTGTTGGTGTGGCTGGCGGCTTCATCCAAGGAGGCGGCCACGGCCCCTTGACCAGCTTGCACGGGTTCGCCGCCGACAACGCCCTCTCATTCGAAGTCCTCACGGCCTCTGGCAATTTCATCACTGCCAACGCGAAATCAAACCCTGATCTCTTTTGGGCACTGAAGGGAGGTGGTCCAGGCACGTTTGCCGTGGTACTCTCAGTGACCATGAAGACGTATCTCGATAACACACCGACTGCCGGGCTTTTCCTAAACGTCAATGCCTCCACTGGGGCTACATTCTCACAAGCTCAGCGTGCAGCGGGCATTATCAACGAGCACGCCAACTACATGGTTGATAACGGGCTCTACGCAATCTATGAGCTTTATGCGCCAGCGATATCCGGAGCCCTTCACGTTCAACCCATCATGGGCTTCAACTTGACTGCGAAACAACTCAGGACCACTGTCGCGCCGCTATTCAAAGCCCTTGACGATGAAAAGATTCCTTACAATTCAGGGTTTCTTGAGTATTCCGATTTTTACAGTATTTACCACGATATCTTCGAGCCAGAGCAAGCTGCCCAGAATGGCCTGACAGGCGGATGGGTATTCACCCACAAAGACATGAGGCCAGAGAACCAAGGTGCCGTGGCCGATGCCATTGCACTAGCCTTGTCTCCACGGTCAGATATGCTAGGCATAGTCATCGGTCACATATTTGACCCCGGACACACGATGACCAAGTCGCAAAGCGCAACGCACCCCCGATGGAGGGGCGCTACGATCCGCTTCATGTCCGTCCTTGTACAACCTCTCGATGCGACCTGGAAACAGAAATTGGAATATCATGATGTGATGGCAAATGTTATCACAGAGAAGTACAAGCAAGCTGCACCCAATGGGTTGGCCTACGTCAACGAGGTGAGTGGTTCGACGCAGCACGGAGTACAGAGCTGACCAATAGCTAGAACTATGCCTTCATGAACAACTGGCAGGATGCTTTCTGGGGCGAGAACTACCCAAGACTAAAGGCAATCAAGAAATCGTGGGATCCCCAAGGTGTCTTCTTTTCACCCTCCACGCCTGGTACGGAAGATTGGCACATCACAGATTATGCCCACAGACTTTGCAAGAAGCTGTAGTACGCTGAGGGCGGCAATGTGCTCCGACTGGTCTGAATACAATTTCTTTCACATGGCTATAACGCACTATGTAATTCTTTTGGAAATAACTACAGGAACTCAATACTTATATACATGCCATGTTCACTCATCCCAGATTACGGCACTTACGCCATCTTCATTGTTCGGTGTCCCGAGCGCCCCAACTCTCACAGCAGCCACAGCCGCACCGAGCCGCCCGGTCGTACTGTTTCTCTCCAGCACGACAACTTCCGCGCTAGTCTGTCCTCCCACAGCAACCAGATCCCCCGCAGCATTGATGTCAAACGTTCTGGGAAACCATGAGCGCGCCGACGCGATCTCTACGAACCGCAGCTCAGCTCGTCCCTCACCGTTGAGACCAATCTCATACAGTGCGATAGAATCTTCTTTCTCCCCGAAAGAGCCGTCATTGCGGTTGGATGCGTAGACGAAATTGTCTCTTACCCTGATCTCCGCCGCTTTCGCTCCCATACGTGGCACGACACCGTCGGGCAGTGTGGAAAGGGACTTGATCTGCTGCAGACCGAGACATCCTCCCTCGTAGGTAACTTCCCATGACGTGACGCTGTTCGAAAGCTCGTTGATAGTGAGGAGGACGCTGACCTCAGTATCGTTCGAAGGACTCCAGAAGACCCCATGCCGGGGCCCATCTCCTGGTGTGGCTTCTCCTGCAGGACATTGAGTGAGAAGCCCCGTCTCGGCGTCGATGGCAAAGACATGAATGCGATCTGCACCAAGGTCGGCTGTGAGGAGGAACGCGCCTGTCGGATCCGTGAACACGGCATGGGGATGAGGTGCATCTTGACGGGGATCCGGTCCCGGAGCGGGGATGGTAAATGTGACTTGCTGAAGTGGCTGTGATGTCGGCGTCAGGGGCAGGGCGCGAGTCACGATTCGTGCTGTGCCACTGGGTGTGTTAGCCGGTAGAAAGTTGGCAAGAGAATGATAAGAAACCAACGCACTAATGTGCCATTGCGATGAAGCTCTTGCCGTCCACTCCGCCGTAGCGGGTGCTGTGTACTTCACCACCATCAGAAAGGGTCTGTATCGAGGCCTCAGCGGGCGTCAGGCTTCCATCGGCTTCGACTGTGAAGGTCGTAAGCCCATTAGGTGCAGACCAAAATGCTCCATCTGGGACGTAGAGGGTTGAGGTTTCGGTATCAAGGTCCAGCCATGAGGGCCAAAAATTGCCGGACGGAACACTTGAACCGATCGCAAGCTCGTTGGTGTCGGAGAGGGTCAGCGAGTAAAGCGACCTCGAGAAGTGGGACGCAATGAGCTTGCTGGCTCCCCGTGCTGGGCGTGACAGACCAAGGACCAGGGAGGCAAGCGTTAAGAGTTGTAGATGCATGGCGATTGTGAGGTGTGCAAAATAAAAACTGCTCCTGGATCAAGGGTGTGCGAATCCATCATATTTATCATGCGTCGGCACCTGAGTTCGGTCCCAGATGGCGGGTCAGGGCGCTTTCGTGATCCGGCCGTAAACCCGAACGGCTGCTCCGGGGCATCCCAATCAGGTAATTCTACGGAGCCACCTGGCCTTGACGCTCACCACGTTTCGCATAGATCGCCATCTGCGCATGAGATCTGCGATATCTTGCTGCAACTTTAGATGAACAAGCATTGCAAATCGCGGCACATATAGTACAGGTAGTTCTGAATGGGCCACTCATACCAATTGTGTCACGTTGGCAGCCAAATCAAGGCCGTGATTCTTGTCTAACTAAGTGGTCGGCTGTAATCACTCGATCGAGAAGGTAATCACATCTTGTCAGCGACTTGAGTCAAGGCATCGGTGCCGATTCAAACAACTGCCAAGTTGTTAATATTGACTTTATGACGAGAACTGTAACGAGTGTCTCAAATCCCGATGTCATCCACAATGCCGCACTGATCCTCATCATCATTGTGACTCGAGTACTGCCTCACACGATTCGACGAACTAGTATTCAGAAGCAGCCTTCTTTACCTCCTTTATCCTCTCTTCAGGCAGCCGCAGTTTGGATGACATACATAGTCCGGCATCCAATCTGGTTACAGACGTCTGGCGCGTCACAAGGAAAGTTTGCTGTCGTGGTGGTCGCTTGAGCAGGACATCCAGCTGACTTGGTCAGTGTCGATGTAGTCGTGCACTGCGCGATGAAGCAGGATTTGCAAATTGTCCCAGTGGCTGTGATGGTCGGACAGACGGGAGGCTTGCAGGGCAGCGTGGTGACTGCTGTCGTAGTGATCGTCTTGGTGGCCGTCTCCGTCGACGTCTTGGTGACAAGCTCGGTGACCTTCTGAGTGGTGGTCTCAGTGAGGATTTTATAAGCTGTTTCAGTCTTCGTGATGAAGGCGGTGACAGTCTTGAGGCCGGTCTCAGTCTTCGTGATGATATCTGTCGTAGTCTCGATGTCCGTAGTCGTCTTGAAATCTGTCATGGTCTTAATGACAGTGTCTATCTGAATGATGACGGATGTAATGGTCTTAGTCACGGGACAAGTTCCCTGCCTGATGGTCGTCGGCTGGAGAGTGATTTGACCGGAGGCAGCTCTATGCTATTGTGTGAGCTTGATGAAGAAGCATTGGATGCTACCTCTTAAAGTTTGTTACTCACGAAGCTGCACCTAGTGCCAGGGCAAAAATGAGACTTGAACGCATGATTTGGGAGTCTTGGGAGTTTGTAACCTGCCGGCGAAGCTCTGGAAGTATGGCGATCATTTCTACTTCGGAAAAAAAATCAGGGCTCTTTTATACCTACACTTTTCTTCGACGGCACAGGAACTCGCGAGCTCCCTGGGTCACAGAGCGAGGCCCCGCTCGAGGTATCAGTATGGCTTCATGCTGGTGTCGTCAGCCATGGTTGATGAGTGAAGCACATAGTTCCTACAGACCGGCCGACCAATGAATGCGACAGCCAAATAGCCTATTACACGACAGTCGTGTTGTGTGTACAGCCGGATATGGAAGCTGAATGTTTTGCTGCGACCATTTCAAAGGACACCCAATGATCCTCGCCCAACAAAGTGCACAATGCGACTCGGGTGGCCCGAAGTTACATTGAGAGACATCTGAACCTGATAGACCCCGCCTTCGGTTCCAATCGCCGCGAATTCGTGGATCAAGCCAAAGGTGGCTCAACATTCAATAAAACAATCTAGTGCTTGTCGTAGACCTCTGCTATTCGGTGTTATTGAGATCGCATTGGCAATCCAAAATGGACCATCTTTGTGCCTTGTATTCAATGAATCAACCAGCACGTATCTCAGGCTGGGGTCAGAGCCTGTGGCCAAGACCAGGACAGCGCAGTTGTCCAAAATGCCAAACATACTGCCCTGTGCCTCGCGATACCGAGCGTGAATACTAAATATGCCTGCAAGTATCTTTTGCTATTTTCTTTTTATGATATGCTTACTGGTTGTGAATACTTCATCGCCTAATCTGGCGATGCTCCAATGCCGCAAACCTAACAACGATTGATCCTTCGCTCCACCGTCGATACAGAACTCGTCCAGCAGTCATGGCCCCTATCAGCCCTGGAGAGTCCATGCTGGGACTCCAAGACGGGGGAGCCCCACCAACTCTAAACTTTCGTCGATTCCCGCCATAGTGTTCATCCCATCATCAACATCATCTCAATTCGCACACACAGCATCAAATATGTCGCATCGTACGGCGACAACAGGTGCCCTCCTGGCCCTGGGCGGCTTTGGAGTCCTATCTGTAGGGGGCCTTCTCTTCCTAAACGGCTGGATGGACATGAAGGACGACCTCATGGCACAGCCCGAGCCGATACTCCCGGGCGCAGGTGGCCCGGCTCGAACGTACTTTACGGGATCTGCGGCGGTCGATGAGGCCCTCACCGGCATACTTATGTTCTACTACCCCTGCGTCAGCGGTGAGATGCCTGCGCTGTCGTTCTTCACGGCATACATGGCCGGCCAGGTTCTGCCAATACACACGGCACTGCTACTCGAAAGTTCACGAGCCGGCCATCATGGCACGATGCTCGCTATGTAAGAATTACGTTGACGCGTTGCGTGCTTCTGTGCGAAGCCTTGCTAACAGTAACAGTCCCGTCATCTGGGGAATGACATACCAAAGCATTCCCTTTGGCATCATCCTCCCTCTCTACGCGATAGCGTACATCTGGCTCTCGCCCCTCGCGAAGCCCACGCAGCCCGGGACGTCGCGCGCTGCAAACCAGCTGCCCACAGACTTAGCACGCCTACAGACCACTTCGAGCGCCATGCTCCTTGGCTTCGTTCTGCCCTCTGTCCTGGCAGCGCTGCCATCCCCTTCAGTCATATCGCGCGATAGCCAGCAGATCTTTCTCGCCCTATGGCAGGTCTTCCCCATCTGGGTATCTCTGTCGCATTGGTTTCTCGCGGCGGCAGCCCAGACGTTCGGCTTCGTGGTTGGTCCGACGCATGTCTCACCAACGGCATCGCTGCAATCTTTGCGTCAAGTTTACAGGACGACGCTCAAGTGCACGTCTCTTGTGCACTTTGGAGTTTTTGCGCTGGCGGCATTTCCCCAACTGAGACCTGTGGTCCACGGAGGCCTGCTCCAGGAGCGGGTCAGTCTCTGGGACATATTTGTGCCTTCATCCGCGCTCTCGCCCAAGCAGATCAAGACGATGGCGGAAGGGAGCTTGACACCGCTGCAGTACGACCTATACTGTGCTTGCGCAGCAATGGCCATTTTGGTGTCCTACCTGGCTTACACCGTCGGCGGTCTCAACAGGGCTGCTGGTCTGAGTACGATCGGGGGGCTTCTGCGCCGTAGTGTGGTTGTCGGGCCTGGAGGAGCGATGCTGTGGGCGCTCTGGGATCGGGACGAAGAGGTGCTGGCGGGGGGGAAATGAGGGCCGTGGTTTTGAACACATTCTCATCCGAGTCCATGGTGATGAGCCAAGGAAAAATAAGTGCTTGTGAGCTCATTTCGCAAACTTTCACAATCTCAACTTACATTTTCACACCATTCGCCTTCAAACAACGTTGCAAGCGATGATTACCCATTCAGTGCCTGTCAGACATTGAGTTAGGCCTACCGCCCACCCTGACGTCCCCACTAATGAGTGTTCAGATATGTGTCAAACCTTGACTTTTTCCCCGCTCTCTGTCGACATAATGCCTCAGATCTGACCACATAGTAGTCAGCTTCGATCGTCTAGTTGGTTAGGATGATGCATTGTGGTTCTTACTACAATACTGCATTGACGGCAGTTCGAATCCGCCTCGGAGCAATTTTTTGATATTTTTCGTGCCTTTTTGCATGTTTCGTGGTAGCAATCATCGACAAACTCAGGTTGTAGTATTTCTTGTGCTACCAGGGGTTTCAAGGGACTGATATGCTTGCACTGTGCTATCTCAACATGGATTCAAAGCCAAGCTGGGCTTCTTCCCGTCCTTGTGCCACGACCGGCCCGGTTCGTAAACTAAAGAACGTCTGAACTCTGCCACCTTCACGGCTCAGTTTCATTGGCATTGTGCCCTCGAAAAACCGGAATGTCGGCCCCAAATACTGCCATCGGTATCCTCCCGAGTCCGAATGAACGCGGGGTATGCACGGGGGAGGGGAATCTCCGTTGATCATCCGCATCCCCGACCGTGGTGATTCGCCCATTTCTCCCGTCATTTAAACGTGACCCGACAGAGTTACATGCCGACGGCTCTGGATATGGATCGCTGTTCCTTGGTATGTTAGCTTCGATGACACCGTGCGCTACACTTGCCAAGAGCGTACTGCCGGACCAGTGAGAGACAGGCAAGCCCGGGGTGATCGACAGTAGGATGGCCTTGGAAAGTCCAAGACATGAGAAGGGGAAGTCGGTGCCGGTAATGGTGGCAGTATGAAAGGGTAGCATGTTCGTTCCACTGAAGGTTGAGCGTTGTCTGTGTACAGACAGTTTGGTAGCGGACTAGTGGCACCTATCGTTGTCACACGAGCTCCAAGCATAGATCGCGCGAGCCTCATCGTTCATACCTCTTGAAGAAATCAGTTGAGATGCAGCCCGAGTCTCTTTGGGCCCTATTCTTGGGTCTGGCGTTGGCCACGAGTGTCGGGGCCAAAGGACTTGACCAGAATGTTCACGACATCAAACAAGTGGGCAGCCGTCAAGCCCAGGACATTGTGAGTGAAGAAGTAGAGGCTCAAACGAGTTCGCGACTAACAGCGCTATTTCAGGTGACCTGGGATGATCACAGTCTTTTTATTAATGGCGAGAGGCTGATGGTGTTCAGCGGCGAATTTCACCCATTTCGGTTCGTCTTTCACTCATTTTTTGAATGACAATAGACCTAACGTATCAAGACTGCCCGTCCAGTCCCTCTGGCTCGATATCCTGCAGAAAATCAAGGCGTCCGGCTACAATTGCGTCTCCATCTACATCAACTGGCATCTCATCGAGGCTGAGCGAGGTCAAGTTCGGATGGATGGCATATTTGATCTCAACCCGTTCTTTGAGGCTGCGAAAAAGGCAGGCCTATATGTGCTACCTCGGCCAGGGCCGTATATCAACGCCGAGGTCGCCGGCGGCGGATTTCCAGGATGGCTGACAAGAACACCGGGGGCCCTCCGCACATATAACGAGGCCTTCTTTAACGCCACTGACCTGTAAGTCTGGAGATTGTTGGTTCTATAAGCAAGGCTGACGTTCTAGATACACCCACGAAATTGGAACGGTCATCGCCGCCCATCAAATTACCAACGGCGGTCCGGTCATCCTTTTCCAGCCTGAGAATGAATACCAGAACACGATTGATCAGGAACTCTACCCAATGCCTGATTATGACTACTGGGAACGCGTCCAAAATCAGTACCGTGATGCCGGCGTCATTGTGCCGTACGTCAATAACGAAGCGCACATGAACGGCTATATTACCGCCCACACGCCCGCTAGCGTAGATATTTATGGCCACGATTCTTATCCCCTCGGCTTCGACTGCGAGAACCCGACTGTCTGGCCAGAAGACGGTCTTCCGACAGACTGGCTGGCGATCAATAATGCCATCGCCCCGGATACACCTTACACAATCCCCGAGGTAATTCATTCAGGGTCTGTTATGATGCGAAAGACTAATAATCGCAGTACCAAGGTGGAGGCTTCCAGCACTGGGGCGACGCTGGCTTTGAGAACTGCGCCCTCCTTCTTAACATGGAGTTTGAGCGCGTCCTCTACAAGAACAATTACGCCGTCGGTGCCACAATCTTCAATATATACATGACATATGGCGGCACGAATTGGGGTAACTTGGGCCACGCTGAAGGCTTCACGTCATACGACTACGGCGCGCAAATCACCGAAGAACGTCTGCTCTGGCGAGAGAAATACAGCGAGGTCAAGCTGCAGGCCAACTTCTTCCATGTGTCGCCCGCATTTTTGGCAGCAGAGAGGTTCAACTCGTCTCTAGATTACACAGATAATCCCGGTGTCACTGTTACGCCAGCCAGGACGAACACCACAAAGTTTTATATTTCACGACACACGCAGTATGATACCGTCGACAGGGTACCTTACAAACTAAAGATTGAGACAACGGGCCATGGGGGCCTTGTGATTCCACAGCTTGGAGATAGCCTGTATCTGACGAGGCGCGATTCCAAGATCCACGTTAGCGACTATCCAGTTGGCGAACATACCTTGGTCTACTCGTCTG